TCCTTCTTCGGCTGCGCCCGTCCCCCGCTTCCCCTCCCCCGCTCTTCCTCCTCCTCCTCCTCCTCGCCGCCGCACTTCTCCTTTCCCTTCGGCCTCCCCCTTCCGCCGCTCCCTCGGTTCTCCCGTCGCTTGGGCACCGGGTTGGGCTCCTCTTCCTCCTCAACCCCCCCCATCCCGGTGCCGCCCTCCTCCTCCTCCTCGCCCACCCGTTCTTCAGGAGAGAAGGGCGGCTCATGGTTCGTCCACCTCTTGGCATGGCGGGGGTGGAAATAGCCCCCCTCCCCCGCGCTTCCCCACCTCCTCGGTGCTCCAGCTTCCCCTAAAAAAGAAGTGTGTTTGTAGCTGGAGGAGGAGGAGGAGGAGAAAAAAGGTGGGGGTGGGACTGATTCTCTCTTGAAGGCTTTAAGGCGAAAAAGGGAGGAGACCTCGGATCTTGCGGGGTTCCATTTTTAATTATAATTACGCTGTAGTGGTCTCTGTTAGACGGTTTGGGGTGTTTTCTTGTACGCGTTAAGAGACAGAAGGCGAGTTCCCCGAGCGATCCAGCCGGCAGAGGGAATATTTGGAGAGAGATTCAAGAAAAAGCTATGGTGTGGCTGCTGTAATGGTGGAAAACTGATTAAGAGGAGACGGGGGTGAGACAAACAGGGTAAGACTGCTTCCAGCAGCCCCCAGTCCAGCCCAGGGCTCGCAGATGGGGTTCATGCTGGGTATACTGGGGGAGGGAGGGGCAGGGAAGGTTTTGTTCGCTTTAAAATCAGAACCGAGGATGGATTTAGCCCCTATATTTGTTGTTCCCCCTTGTATTACGGTGCTGCATATTTTTGTGTGCCCGTAGCAGCAGTAACGAAGATCATGGAGGGTGTTTGCTACAATAGAAAAATGGAGTTTTCTCCTCGGGAATATTGTTTAAAATATTGTTTCAATTCCCAGCTTATTACTGAAAGGATCTCAGCATTTTGAAATTTTTCTTTATCCGTACAAGAGATATTTAAGGTGTAGGGTTTTAAATTCTACAGCTTGGTAGGAAATGAAGAAATATAAAGTCTTGCATGTAAATATGAAAAAGAACGAGACGTTTTATTTAAAAAAAAAAAGACAATCTTGTCCAGAAGAATATCAGAATGATGTAGAGGTGGTTGTAAGATGTCAATTTATCATTCCTGAAGATGAACTGAAATTTTAACGAATGTGATATTTCATTATTCTTCAACAAAGTCATGGCTGGGATTCGTTATTTGAAATAAGGCATCCTTTCTAGCCTGCCGACTGCCACGTTATTATGTATTGTCTCCACAGCAGAAAATAGGAGGAAAGGACTGTAAATGTAAGGCTTAAAAGTGATTATTGAAACGGCTTTTGAGAATAGTTGGCTCAACTTGGAGAGGTGATTTAAGACTGAAAATTTAAACATTTTGCTGCTGTAAAATATCTGCACCTAATCGTGAGAGATTTACCTCGTATTTTAAACTGATCAGCTTAACCCAGGGCTGTGAGTCGAGACGAAATGCTGTCGGTGTGTATGTGAAATCCATGTGAGGAAACGAAGACGATATATTAAGATCGAAATCTGTTCTAAATGTAATGTCTTAGACTTTATTTTTTTTTTCCCCTCGTGTGCTTTAGGAGAGGAGAAAGAGAAGGGGGTGATAATAGTGTAGTTGTTTTGGTGGCTGCAGATTAGCCAGGGTGTGTGTTTGATTTTCTTTTTGCTGTGAATGAATGGATCTTTCTGTGCCTGGGCCCAATAGCTGCAACAAGATGGCGTTTGCAGCAAGGCAGCTCTCATTTTTCAACTCCTCCTCACCACAGCTTTGCCAAACTAGATCTTATTTCGTAATTGTGTTTTTAGATTTACTTTCTCCTTCTCTTGGCTTTCTTCTTTTTTTTTGTGGGGTGGGGGTAGGAGGAGCATTTGGAAGATTGTTGCAAAAAAATCTGTGGGTTTTTTTTTCTTAATTTTTGTGAGCTTCTCCAGATAGGAACTAGGTGGGAGGAGTAAATAGTTCTATTGAAATGTTCACAGAGGCTCTTACTGGATAAAGGGCTGACATGATTTTCTTTTTTACCTTGCAGTGCCTGCTTGATACCATCAAAATGTTCTTGGGTTTTATTTAGCCTGTTGCTAAAAAACGGGGTTTTAAACCAAGCCTGTGCTGGGGCTGGGTACTGTTGCTGGTTCTCTGCTGGGCAAGTAACCTCCAGCCCCCGCGCAGACAGTTAGCTTTAATACAAAAGAATCTCCCATCTGCTTGGCAACACCAACAATTTATGGAGGCTTTTAAAACTGCTTTTGACCCGGAATTATTGTCATACACTAGGTAACTGTTTGTGGGGAATAAGAAAGGGTTTGGGGATATTAAAAACAGTTCTGTGTCTGTGAAGTATTGCACTTTAAAACGACATTACAAATTTCTAAAGCCTTTTATGTGTGGTTTTTGGTATCTTTTAAGTAAAATGGACTTTTAGTTTGTAACTTTTATGATATGTCACTATAGTGCCAAGCTTCTTAACTTTGGTAGCCTAAATAAAATAGTTTGGTTAATATTTGATATACTGAACTCAGGCTTAAAATAATAATATGGTACCCAGCAAGAAAAATAAGAAATGCTTGTTATGTCTCCTGTCTTTAAATGACCTCCAAACCTTTGGTAATATCAACCTTTTTAGTACTGTTTATCTATGACTTAATGTATAATCAGTTGTTTGTTAGCTTACTGTAATAGCCCAGCTGGAGTTCATACAGCAGGAAGGTAGGAAGCAGAAGAGCTAATTTGCAGTTGAGGTTTGTATTGGGGGTTTTGGTGTGGTGGATTTTTTAATTTATTTTTTTTTATAGGCAACCCCCCGACACCTCTGAAATTAGCAGAATGCATTTTACCCCTAGTATGTCAAGAACAATTTTTTAAAATCAAGAATGCTTGTCCAAGAAGCTGTTAGTTCCATTTGAGAGTGCTCTTAATGTGCTGTTGAACTTGAAACGAGTTGTGCAGGTTTTTTGGTACTAGTACTTTGGCCTTTCAGTGTAGTACCAGAAAGCAGTAGGGTGAAGTGGGATTCTGTACTGGGGAAGATAAATTACATTTATCCTTGTGTAGTCCTTGCAGCTGCTAGGTCAGTATGGAGCAAGCATCCTACCATGAAATCTTCAACAATGTGTAAAGTTAGAATTCCACAGTAAATCCTCACAGAACAGTTTTTTAATCACTTCCATACCTCATGGAAATATGAAAATGTTGTTTTTACACTTAATGAGAATTCCTTTTTTGTAAGTAACCCATGAAGTTTCATGTAATTTGGAAGTATGTGGAATTTTGTGTAGCATTAGTTAATATCATCCAGGAATAAACACTCTACAGCTATTAAAGGAAATTTAAAGCTAGAATAATTAAACTAATATGTTTAGTATAAGAAAAAGCCTTCAATTGATACAATTACATGATCCTTTAATTATAGTAAAAATATATATCTCTAGTGTTTGTAGGATGCCTTTTCCTGGCACGAAGCAAGCTGTTGGTGGGGGCAGTGTGTAATAACTTCCTGGTGCTTTGGAGGCTTCGATTTGGTCATGTGGAAAACAACTATAACTGTTTCTTTTTAAATAGTTACTTAGTTATGATTTCTCAATCAGTGTGAAACTTGGGTTACTTTTGCAGATTCTTGCCATGCCCGCTGCTGCAGTCAGGAATGTTAAGGAAGTGTTACATTTAGCTAGTTTTAGAGTTCTTGCAATAAAAAATGGGAGCTGTTGCTTTCTGCGAAACCAGCAGTAGGTTTGTCTTCTGCCTGTCGGGCTCAGCTCTTGTTTTAGTCAGTGAATTGGATTAAATTCTTACTGTCCATGGATTTTGGCTCTCAGCATTAGTGGATTGGTAATTGATATTCTCAATTTTAATATCCAGTTTTAGCCATATGGCGCACCGTATTGTTTCAAGGATTGCATTTAGTGCTAGTTTGTTACTAGTGAGTTGCAGTGAGAAATCCTGCATTCAAGTGGTTGGATTATGCTTAGGTGGGTCTTCTTTGGAGTCTCTAATGCATATCCTCATGCCAGTATTTTGGGTATATATTTTTTTTAAGTATTTTTTTACTGGTTATGTGGGGGGAAAAAAATTATAACCTTGAAAGCAACTAGCTTGTGTTAAGGAAATGTTTCTTAAGCATGTGATTGAAGATAAAGTGGAAATTTTTTTAAGGGACTTTCTTGCTTGAAGTGCACACTCAAAATTTTCATTTCATTCTTTTCAGAATACATATTCCATTCAAAATGTTTGTTTTCTCCCCACTGATAATGTTGGAACTGGTATTAGCCAAGGTCGCGATAAAAAACAAAAATACCCCCAAGCCCCTATGTTTCTATTTAACATAGTATCTCAATTTATTATTTCTTCACAGGGTGCTCAGTATGCTGGGGATTTGTGTGCATGGATTTGTTTTTCACCAAACAGAAATATATGCAGAATCCATAGATACTTGAGCCAACTGGTAGTTCAGCAGAACATTAAGAGGTTTTTAAAAGCTTTGAGCTGGCTATGAGCAGTACCTTTACTTTAGATGCCAAAATAATCAAT